ATTATATATCATACTTGCAGCTCAGGCTCTTATATTAAATACATACTAATCTCTGACTCTGAAACTGGGCTGAATTGTGTTTTTATTGGGTGCTAATGTGCTGCAGTGCTCTCATTTCTCACTGTTGTGGATGGATGTTTTTTAAGTGCTGTGGGTTAGCACTACAAGGAAGGCGGAAGCAGAGCGGGGTGATTTGAGGTGAAATGTAAACAGTGCTAGTCAGGAAGGATTAGCATCCCGTGAGCAGCATGGACTTGCAGCGGCACCCAATACTTGTGACAATGGCAGCCTGTTTTTCAGTGGGCTAAAGAGGTTGTGTGTATGTGTACAGATTTTTCTTTCAGTCACAACGCATGAATGTAAATTTTAAAGAAAAAGAAGTTTCCCACAAGTAGTTGAAAGGCTTTTATTCATGTTTATGTCTCACCTTCCTTTTAGAAATCCCGAGGCGCCGCTGTAGCTTACCTGGTCACTCTACACATCCTCTTCCCGCTTTCCTGTCTACTCTGAACTGTCCTATGAATACAGGTTACAGAAATTGAAAAGATTTCCGTTGTTTGTAAGCCGTCAGCAATCTCTGTACAAAAATGCTCATATCAATTGCATTTGCATATTACAGTGTATTTCTTGTAGTACTTGTGAGATGCTATGTAATAGTAGGTAAACTATGAATGGGAAAAGCCAGATGTCGCTTGGACGTCCACTAGATGATGAAATATAGCATAATGTTGCAGTTAAACTACTTATTTGTATTTAATTGATATTCAACACTAGTTAACTTGTTTCTGAGAGCTTATAGTGCCAGTGGGAAACTTATTGAAACTGCAGAACGTATTGTGAGAAATGGCTGTACATTGGCTGTAAAAACTCCAGTGCAGAAAGTGGCTGATCTGCAGCCACTTTCAGCTCAAGGACTTTAACATGCAAAGAAGATGTACAACTCAATGTGCTACACATTTCAGCAGTATTTAAATTAGTTTGATTGCTCACAAATTGGAATAATTTTTGCTAAATTTGTCACCTGGAAGAACTCTCAGTCAGTTATAGACTCTCATTATTGTTTACTGGTTGGTCCACACTGTTGTAAATAATAATTCAAGACTACATATGTAGGGCAGGGTGTCCGGATCATTTGGAAGAGTAAAGGATGAAAGTGACATGTAACTCATTTGTCAACCTCATACATGGCTTATCAGTTGAAACATGTAGGTTAGCTTACTATTAGCCACTCAGCATTAATAGTGAATTAAAATGTTCTCAGCACAAAATACTCTTCTTGTTCTGTATTCAGAGGTTGGTAGAAAACTGCAGGTGAAGGTGATTTTAAAAAAGGACTGGTCAGGACAAATATTAAAGAAGATGCACCTGTGTAAAAGGGGTAAACTTGTGTAATGACTGTGAGAAAAAATTACAATCGTGTAATTAAATTGCTGATCATGTTGATTGATGATGGTGTTGACAGAAATACACACAATCAGAGTGCCATGTGATTATTTGGATTATTACAGTAGTGTTTGATAGTGTTATTGACTTTTGTTTTAATTGGGAATTTGTTTTACAAGGAAAAACAAAACATCAGAGTCGGTCTTGTCTGACCAAGGAGATTCAGTGTGGCCTTGGATTTTGTGCATGTGTGGTTAGCTCTGCCTGACAGTAGGAATTTAAAGAAATAGTTGTCCAAAGTCTTTACAAAATCTGTGGCTTTCCTGTGCTCTTTTATCTGCACTGGTTTGTGGGAATGGATCTAGAGGGGAAAAAGCTGTGGGATTTACGTTAATGGCTGTTCTCATTTTGTTCCTGACACTTTTTTTTTACCATGTGTTTCCCACCCCCGCAGGTCAGTTAAAGCTGAAAATGAGTGCAGTAGGGGAAAGCCCTCTGGACCCTGCCACGCCAGAGTTACGCAAGAGGAAGGGCTCGCCATGCGACACGTCAGGGCAAAGGTAAGACCGGCTGCATGCCTTTTTTTTTTTTACAACACTGACAAACATTACACGGATAGAGCCGGAGATACTGTGAATCTTTATTGGTTCATGATCAGCCAAAAGATGAGTAATAAAAACAATTATCAACCATATCAACCTAGCTTTTTTATCAGTAAGGTTATAAACGTCTATGCTCGTGAAATTATGTCGTAAAATACATGTAAGCAAATGATGTTTGCATTAAAATGTGTTAAACCATTAAATGAATTGCCAAAAACTGACTGATCAGTGAAATTCAACTGATGAGATCACAAGATAAAATCGAACTCATAATTTCGTCATTACTTTATTTTCATTATCACATCAGAAGTTACATTTATAGCAGACTACATGAAGCGTTGCAAAATATTGATACAGAAATGTTATCACATTGCTTTTACTTGAGCTGCAGTATTGATGAAGTGGCAGCAAAAAGGGTTTTTCCTACACAGAGGAATTTTGGCACCTGCACAAAGAGCTAGCAGTTTTTTTTAATCAACTTTGTTAGCAGGGGCTTAATTTATAATCATAACTAAATGAGGGTGGGAATTTAATGCATTAATTGCGATTAATGAATTTGAAAAAAATAACGCGTTATAAAAACATTAATGCATTTAATTGCACTTTGAATTCCAAGCAAAGGGGAACTTTTGTCAATGCATGACTTCCTGGTATAC